GAGGAAAAACAACAAGTTCTTAAAGCCACCACAGCACACTACAAAGCTGCTAGAGAACATGGCATTCAAACTAATAACGATGCCCCAGCTTTATGGCCTGAACCCCTGGTTCTTTTTAGCCCCAGCTATGAGGTTGATCCCAACACAGATCAGGGTGCCCTCATCCTCCAGAGAGCCAGGGATGCTATCCTTCAAGGACTGAGGCTCGGTGTTCCAAAAACGGTGAACTTTCACCGAGTTCATCAGATCCTTCAAAATCCAAAGGAATCCCCCACTGATTTTTTGAACCCGTTTGAAAGATGGATTTTGGAGGTTTACTGACCTCGACCCTGATAGCCCAGCTAATGATGTTTTGCTGAAAATGACCTTTGTGGGACAAAGTGCTCCCAACATAAGAAGGAAATTGCAAAAACTAGAGACCCCTACTGCTAAGGACTTAGAGGCCCTCATTCAGACAGCTTTCACTGTCTATTCCCAAAGGGAGGAAGAGGAAGAAAAGAAAGAAGATAGGAAAATGAGAAAGCAAGCTGCTTTTTTAGCAGCGGCTTTGAGCCCCCAAAGTAAAGGCAGGGGGAGACCCCTCCCGAAAAATCAATGTGCACGGTGTCATCAAACTGGCCATTGGTGGAGAGAATGCCCCAACGAACCACAACGGCCCAATAGGGGACGTGGACAAATGAGGGGAAGGGGAGGATACAGACCTGATCCCCCGCAAGCCCCCCTCATGTCAGCTCAGGCTCCTGAGTTTTATCGAGAAACCTACTGAAGGGGCTCTGGAGGGCCAATTGCTTCCCCAGACCCTCTGATGGAGCTCAAAGTGGGGAACAAATCTTATTCCTTTTTGATTGATACAGGAGCTACCTTTAGCGTCCTGAAGGATAAATCCATCCCTTGCCTCTCTTCTAAAACCACCCCCATTGTTGGAGCAACCGGGATAGAAGAGAATGCCCTGATCAGTCACCTAATGGTGGTTGAACCAACCAAGGGACCATCACTCCAGCATTCCTTTCTAATATTGCCACAATGTCCTATCAATCTTTTGGGGAGGGATCTGCTAGGAAAATTGGGGGCAGTTATACAATGCTCCCAGCAGGGAGTTTCCCTTGAAATTCCCCCAGAAAGAGCTTATCTTTGCTTCCTAGAGAAAGAAACAATCCTTAGAGGACCTGATTCAAATAAAATAAATCCACAAGTTTGGTATCAAGGAATCCCTGGGTTTGCAAAATTTGCTACACCCCACATGGCTCAGCTCCTCCCAGGTGCCCAACCTATCTCTATTCGCCAATACCCTATCAAACGGGAAGCCCGGCTTGGCATTAAAGCACAGATTGAACTTTTTCTGAAAACTGGGCTCCCCTTAACGTTTATACGCCTCATTCAGTTCAAGCTCTCCTCGAACAGAAACTCCCAGCATGGGCCACCTCATGCCAGATTTCTAAGTATGCAAGCCAGATTTTAGAATCAGACTCTGTTCAGCTTCATAGATGTGAAAGGCTGAATCCAGCTACCCTTTTGCCTCCCCCCCCCCGAGGATGGTCCACAGCATGACTGTTTAGCCATCTTGGAATCCGTGGTAGGCATTCGTGCAGATCTTAGGACTGAACCTTTTGACAATCCTGAGTCCCAACTCTGGACTGATGGCTCTTCTTTTGTAAAAAATGGGAAAAGATACACAGGACCGGCTGTAGTTTGCAGAGATGGCCCCCTCCTCCTACGACAACTCCCCTCTCACTGGTCCGCTCAAGCAGCCGAGCTTTTAGCCCTGATCGAGGCATGCCATCTGTCAGCTGGACTGCGCACTAATATCTATACTGACAGTTGTTATGCATTTTTGGCTGCACACACTCATGCCGCTCTATGGAAGGTTCGTGGCTTTACTGGTGCAGATGGGAAAAGCCTAAAGATGAAGCCCTTGCTAGAAAAACTTGTCACAGCTGTCAGACAGCCATCCCAGCTACTATCATTCATTGTCGAGGACACCAGACAGACCACAGTGAAATCTCTCGTGGGAACCAGGCTGCTGACTATTGGGCCCACCAAGCTGCTGAATCAGGCCCTGCTGTCAATCCCAGGAATCTCTCAGCTTTGCTTCCCTGTGACCCCACGCAACACCTTCCTGCCCTATATGATACTAGGGACCAGCTACACCCTGATGGCAAGTGGTGTGATGGGTGGTGGGTCGTTCAGAACAGAATCCAGCTCCCCTCAACAAATGGTGTGGAAACTTGTTCAACGAGCTCATCGCATGTCTCACAGCAGTCCTCGCCCACTCCAGAAGTGGCTCACATCCCACTATTGCAATCCAAACTTGCGTGGCCTTTGCAAGACTGTTGTTTCTCAATGTGACATCTGCCAAAGGAACAACCCCCGAGGGGGCAGTCCGCTTCCTCTCGGTCGTCTTCGAACTGCCCAATACCCAGGGGAGACTTGGCAAGTAGACTTTACTGAACTCCCAAAAAGGGGAGCAAAATCTAACCTTCTTGTATTTGTGGATTTATTCACTGGATGGCCAGAAGCCATCCCTACCTCCACCCAAAAAGCCAGAGAGGTGGTGAATGCCTTAGTTGATCACATAATCCCAAGATTTGGGGTCCCTAAGGGTCTTGAGTCTGACAATGGCAGGCATTTCACCTCACAGGTTACTCAGGATGTCAGTAAGTTTTTAGGCATCCCTTGGCACCTCCACTCTGTTTACAGACCACAGGCTTCATCGAAAGTGGAACGTTTGAACAGAACCCTGAAAACACACTTGTCCAAATTATGCCAAGAAACCCAACTCCCCTGGCCTAAGGTACTACCACTAGTCTTAGCAAGAATTAGAGCCCTGCCTTCAGGGAAATTAGGATTGTCACCCTTTGAAATGATGTATGGGAGACCCTTTGTTGCTTCTGCCCTGCCAGATTCTAGTGAAGGGGAAAGAAATATCACCTCATATTTGCATAATCTGGCGCAGGTTTTGTCCTCTATCTCTAAACAGGTCCAGTCCGCTTTACCTCCAGCTGCTGACATGCCACCATTGGCTGAACCGGGCCAGTGGGTAAGGATCAAAGAACTCTCTCCCACCTGCACTCAGCCCAAGTGGTCTACACCCCGTCAGGTTCTTCTGAGCACCCCCACGGCTGTGAAAGTGGACGGCGTCAAAGCGTGGGTCCACGCATCACGAGTCAAGCACGTCCCCGAGCCCCCTGAGCAGTGGCAAGTCCAACAGCTGGAAGGACTCAAGCTGAAACTTCACCGCTCCCCAGCATCGCCTGCTGACCTGTTCACTGATGAACTGGATAGACTGGACACCCATTGAATATATTTGATTTGCTGTTTTTGTTGTCTTTGCTGTTTTTCTGCTCTGTTGCTGCTGGTTTCCCCGCACATTCTTTGGAAAAGGTGACAATGGCTCTGATCTTTATTTTGGTTCCACAACTTGTCTCAATGTTTTTGATCCTCGGGACTTTTATACCCGCAGCCAAACTCTTCCCCTACTGAACCTCACATGATCCTTAAAACCATCCCTACTAAATATGTACCTCTTTTACAGCATGATGGAAAGCATTCCATCGTTTAAATAAAAAGAGTGAAATGTAGGGAAACAATAATATAGAATATAAAATACTGATATACTAGATTTAGTAAAAGCTTGTTATTCTGTAATCATTAGGTTCCTGTAACATATATATTGTGCTTTTGTATCACATATATTATTCCTTTCTATTTGTATCTCCTGTTACAAACATATTGTCATTAGGCCTCTGAAATGTATCTGGTATTTGTCAAACGTATGTCCCTGCCATTTGACCTGCTCATATCAATCTCTTTCTGTGCCACCTAAAAACATGGTATGTATCTGTTGGAACTCCAGCCATCAACAAAGGGGTAATTTACATCTCAATCCTAATTTATGCCTGATCTGGATAAGATCTGGTCTTCAGGAGCCAGGGGCTAAGTGGCCAATTAAGTAAACAAAGATAAGACTAATTGGAAGTTTAGATTCCTTTGCAGGGCAACAAAGAATACACAAACATAAATTAAGGGGCCAGAATTGGGGATCTAACTGATGCTTTAAAGGTATAAAATGTGGTTACATCTTCTCTGAAGATGTGAACCCTCCCATATACATATCTCTTTGTATGTGTTTGGAATGGTTTTACCCAGCCTTTTGTCTTTGATCAAAGATTAAATGTTGATTCTTATTCAAGCCTCCGTTTAAGTCTTTCTTTTTGGTTCACTGAGAGCTTAAGCGTATAGCCGGACCTTACATTTCATAACAAATAGCCAACCCTTTTCCCATCTTCTGGACTTACATAATACAAAGGGCCACAGACTATACAGAATGGGATTTCAGAAGATGGAAAGCTAGCCTGTGGCTTATTGCTTATGTGAACACTTGACAATGGAAAACCAACCGTACAGAAGTTTTAAATTCAGTGTATAAGTGTACTTTTTCTCCCCCACAAAGATCTAGTGAAAAGGGTCTGCTGCCATCTGTAACTAGCCTTATAATTCTTATAATCCTGTTCTCTACAGAATGTACTATTTAAAATCCAGGGTGGGACTGGAAGAGCATAAATAGAAAATGTGGAATACAATTCAATTTTCCCTCCTGACTATCTCAAAATTTTAATAAACTGTAGCGTATCAGAAATTATTGGGTTAGCTGATTGCTTGCCTCTTAAATGGCTGGCATCAAGGGACATACGGTTAACTTAATAATAACGGTTTCTTGAATTAAGCCAAACACCTGCCGTGTGAACCGCACCCCGACCCACTAGCAAGCCATAGACTTAGTTCGAGTATTCAGCTTCCTGAGCCATTCACGAAGAAAAGAACCAGATTCCATCCCACCACAGGATCGGCTAACGCGTGACTCAGTGTGCCGTGTGAATAGAAGCACCCCAGGGATAATAAGTAACTTAGATTTCGCAAGCGGAAGGGCTGAAACCCGAATTAGGGTAACACTTCAACAAAACTGACCCGTATGAATTTAAAAAGCTGAGAACTCAGCTCGGGAACATCGAATGAGGTCGCGCCGCGTCAGTCGGCTCCGCCCCGCCTCGCCTTAGCTTCTCTTTTCCTTCCCCTGGTCGAGACGAGAGCCGATAAACTCCGCTGTGTGGTTTATTCCGGCGGACGAATTGCGAGGAGTTGGTTGGTTTCCGATGATACATTTTGTGCTGGGCTTTGAGGAATTTCGTCGCCCGATGAAGCTGGTAAATGTCACTTCGCGACCAACGGGGGAGGAGGGAGGAGAGAGTTAGCGTAATAGTCGCGCAAAGATCCTGAGTTCCTGAACCATTTTAATTTCGAGCTCAGTTTTCCCAAAGTGGCTACGAATGAGGGCACTTGAAAGCCGAAACAAATCGAAGGTTTTGGCTTGGGAGGGCTGTGAAAACCACAGTGGGCTTTTGAGGAAATACAATTGTTCCCCCCCCCTTGTCTTGTTTGGGTTACCTTGCAAACTTCTGGGAGGTGTTGAAAGTCCAATTCATCCGATTGAGCAAGTTATGGCAATTGTTTGATGGCTTGGAAAGAGGAAGGATGTGTTCAGGTTTAAAATGCAGGAATTCATGAAACATATAGATAGCAAAATTGTGATTTGCTCTTCTGAGTTATTTTTCTTGCCATGAGCCATAATATCATTCTTTTTCATTATTTTATTGCTCTGTTATTTATTTAAGAAAATTTGTAGGGCTGTCCTCTCACTCTCAATGACTCTAGGTGGCTTACAAAAATAAAAACCCAATATATTAACATTAAAAAACAATAACCCTCTCATCCCCCTATGAAAACACTCAATCAAACAAGCCACTTGATGGGCTCCATCCCATTCAGGGTTCCCCAGGCCCATTGGCAAAACCAGGTCTTCAGGACCTTGTGAAACTGTCAGACCGGGGACCAATCTAATCTCCACAGGGATGGGAGCAGTGGTGGGATTCAAGTAATTTAACAACCGGTTCTCTGCCCTAATGATTTCTTCCAACAACCAGTTTGCCAAACTGCTCAGAAAGTTAACAACTGGTTCTCCCAAAGTGGTGCGAACTGACTGAATCCCACCACTGGATGGAAGGGAGCCACTGCGGAGAAGGCCCTTCTTCTGAATCCCACCAGATATACCTCCTTGGTGGGTTGGGTAGATGTGAGGCTTTCAAAGTGACCACCAGCACCTTGAATTGTACCTGGAAGCAGATTGGCAGCCAATGCAACTCCCGTGGGAGAGATGACATTGTAAGATGTCAAAATGACAAGTAAATTATCTTACTTCTTTCTGTTTACACTCTTTTCACTTCAGAAATGAAAAGGCAGCAGATAAATTTAACAAACAAACACAGGTAATCCTCGATTTACAACAGTTCATTTAATGACTGTTCAAAGTTACAAAGGCACTGAAAAAAGTGATTATGACCATTTTTCACACTTACAACTGTTATAGTATCCCCATGGTCACATAATCAAAATTCAGATGCTTGGCAACTGGTTCATATTTATGATGGTTGCAGTGTCCTGGAGACATGTGATCAGCTTCTGCTACCTTTTGACAAGCAAAGTCTCTGGGGAATCCAGATTCACTTAACAGCCATGTGATTTAATTAACAAATTCATGATTCATTCAACAACAGTGGCAAGAAAAATCGTAAAATGGGGCAAAATTTACTTAACAAATCTTTCACTTAGCAGCATAAATTTTGGGCTCAATTATGGTCGTAACTATTTGTAAATATCTATTGAAGATGCTCTATCTGGTAACATCATCCCAGCATGCTCACTGGGGAATTCTGGAAATGGAAGTTCACTGATCTTAAACACTGCTCTAGAGTGAAATTGAAACCTACAGACATACTCATCATGTAAATATACTGCTTCCCCCAAATTCTATTTTTGCAACAATGTGGAAGTGGTTTGCCCTTGGTTTGTTCTGGAATTTTTCTCCAATACAAACGAGGTCTGATTGTACACTGCTCAAAAAAATAAAGGGAACCCAAGTAGAAGACATCCGAGATCTGAATGAATGAAATAGCCTTATTAAATACTTTGTTCGTTACATACAGTAGTTTTGTGTTCCCTTTAGTTGTTTGAGCACTGTATAAACTACTGTATGTAAAGAACAAAGTATTTAATAAGGCTATTTCATTCATTCAGATCTCGGATGTCTTCTGCTTGTGTTCCCTTTATTTTTTTGAGCAGTATATTTGTTTCTTTTATTGTAAAAGTTTTACAATTACATTTTCACCCCATTTTCACCCCCCTAACCCACCCCAAACTCCCCAACCCACCCTCCCTAACCCCCCCTAACCCTCCCCTCCCCCCCGGACTTCCATAGAATATACCCCATCATTGTCCCCTTTATATAAAAAAAAAAACCTTGAACTTTAAACCCCCCATCCCCCATATCATTTTTCATCTTCACATAGTTCAAATATTTCTATCTTAATGTAATATAATACTATCAATAAAAAGCTATTTGATACTTCCTAGTTTGATATTTGTTCTGCACATAATCTATCCATTTTTTCCATTCACATTCATAAGTCTCTTGTGAGCGGTCTTTTAAATATGCTGAAATCTTCGCCATCTCAGCGAAACTGGCCATCTTCAAAATCCATTCTTGAACAGTAGGCAAAGCTTCATTTTTCCAATATTTACCTATCAACAATCTCGCTGCTGTAATCATATACAAAATCAACTTTGTTTCATCCACTGTAAAACCCTTTGCTATACCCAATAGAAACAATTGTGGAGAAAATTGAATTTTTTTCTTCAAAACATTCTGCATGACCCACCAAATTTTTATCCAAAAAGCCTTAACTTTCTTACAGGTCCACCAAATATGATAATATGTAGCATCTGTACAATCACACCTCCAACATTTTGGCTGAACATTAGGGTACATACACGACAGTTTCTTAGGGTCTAGATGCCATCTATAAAACATTTTGTAAAAATTTTCCCTCAAATTCTGCGACTGTGTAAATTTAACATTCTGGACCCAATTTTTTTCCCATGTAATTGTTTCTTTTTCATAATCATTTAAGCAATATCATCTATAATGTCACCTATATTAATCAACATTTGTAGTAATAATAGTCCTCAGGTTACGACCACTTGTTCCGTAACTATTTAAAATTAAAATAGTGCTGAATGAGGGAGACTTAACACTGACCGTGAAGTTGTGGCTATCACAACATCGCTGCAGTCGCATAATCATGCTCTGGGTGCTTATGCAGTCATGTGATAGCCATTTGTGACCTTCCCTGCTGACTTCCCACAAGGAAAGTTGATGGGGAAGCTGGGAAAGAAGCTTGCAAATCAGTCCTGTAGGTCATTCCCATCATTTTTTTTCTCCCAAGGACTTCTGCTATGGAGTACAAGATCCTAGAGAATCTCATACTCTGTTGGCACCCCTGCCTGCCTGTACCCTATAGTGGCCACACCAGCCTTTCCACATTTCATAGCATTTGCCCATGGCCCACACCAATCGGTGCTTAGAAGTGTCCACATGTAGCTCAATTGCTGTCATAATTGAAGGACTAACTGTAATACAAATTGGAGAATGCTTATGAGATACATAGCAGGGACTTAAAAGTTAGAAAGACCATAACATGTTCTTGGATTCTCAGAGAAAAGCAACAACAACCTAGAGTTGGAATAAGTCTGGATTCTGGTGAACTTTTTCCCGCTCAGTTCCTCATAGCTATAGATTATCCACAAAACCAAGTGGTATCATTTCAGTCCTATGTCCAAATCTGAATTCTAACTGAAAAGGTTTTAGAAATAAAAAAGATTTTATTAAAAAATAAAAGTACACAGAGTTCCAAATTAAATTCATACATTAGCTAATTAAATGAATGTTGTGTTTCTGTTTTGCATAAGAATCTGTTCAGATTTCATTTCAAAGAACTGAGCCTTCTGCTTTGATTATTGGGCAGATTATCTTTGTTCCTTCTCTCCTTTTTAATCATTAACCTCATAGATTTATAAGATATGAGGCATTAGTGAAAAAAAGTCAACTTTCACTTTGACTAATACAAAATCTGCCATCTCTGATGCCAGGAAATTGGTAAACTGTCTAGGAGCAAATAACATCTTCTTAATAGTTCCTATGGTTGAATGATACAGCCAGTTTGGTCAAGTGTTTTCAGCTAGAAGCCAAGAGACCGGGTGAAAGGGACTGGGCCAGGGTCACCCAACTGGTTTCATATCAAGGCAGGACTAGAACTCACAGTCTCCCAGTTTCTAACCTATTCCTTAACCATTACAGACTTGCAAATAACAGCTTCTTTCATCAGTATCAGCAGTAAGTTTTATTAAAGCTTATTTTTTATTTAGTGTGGCTTGCAATGTGCAGTAAAAGTGCATGTTTGACAAAGATATGTTGAGAAAGAAGGTAGAACTTTAAGTACCTTTGAGGAAATTTGTAAAATAGCATTAAGGGTTTTTTTTAATTCCATAGAACAGCAGTGTCAAACTCACGTCATCACGGCGGCGTCATATGACGTATCGGGACTTTTTTCCCCTTTATTAAATCAGGCGTAGGAGTGGCCAGCGCGTGACGCATCTGGCCCATGGGCCAGGAGTTTGACAGCCCTGCCATAGAATATCTTAAAGAAATATTCAAAATTTCAAAACTCTGCACTCATTTCTCCCTGTAAATAAGAAGACTTCTTTTTATTTCCTGATGCTATATTTTCTTCTCCAATCTTGCCTTTGCAATCCTTTAATAACTTCCGTCCCATATTCCTTGACCTACATTCTTTTCAGGTTAACTCTGATAATAATATACTTCCTTATTTTCCATTTGTTTTACAGACTGGAGGAATGAGGTTACTAACTCTTTACTTTTAAGAGTTAGACACAATGGGAAACAATATTTCCAGAAGAATTTATCCCTCTTTTCTGAAGAACAGAATGAAGACTAAGTACGCTAGTCGAGACGAACACCACTTTAACCAAAACTCCATATTAGAAAACTGTTGCCATCCTAGCATCCAAGATGTAGACAGCAGTGATGAGGAGTCTGAAGATGGGTTCTACAGGTTTGTGATTCTTCATGCTGAAGAGGATATAGAAGAAGCCATTAGAGTCCAAGACCTCTTACAAAATGAATATTGTATCAAACCAGGAATCATTTTTGCGGAAATGCCTAGTGGTAGGCATTTGCTGGAAAATTTAACTGATGCCATTAACGATTCCGCCTGGATAATTATACTGCTGACAGAAAACTTCTTAAGAGACCTTTGGTGTGAATTCCAATCATATACTTCTCTTTTGGGTGCACTGACCATCCCACACAAACATAACAGTGTGATACCCATGCGGCCACGAAATAGACCACTCTCATGGGAGAGGACTCCTTTCATCCTACAGTGTGTTAATGTTCTTCAAGAAGATAGTCCTGGATTTTCTGTTCAAGTAAAGAAAACTTTCCAAGAGGCTCAATATAGGCAGCAGGAAAAGATGTGGCGGTATGGAAGAAAGAAAGAAGTGGCCTCCAAGATCCTTTAGTGGTAAATGTAGAAAGCAGCTTTCCCTAACCAGCTGCCTTTCAGAAAGGCAGGGGCTACAACAGAGTGTTCACAACCAACATAAGCAATAATTACACTGACTGCAATGATTGACTAGCACATCTGAAAACGTTAGCTGGAAAAACATATTACAAAAAATATTACAAATGCATTTTTTTTAAAAATAAGTAATTTATTTGTTCAAAGATCCTGTGATACTCCATTCTATCTCCATATTGTTGATTTTATTTTGAATACTTAAACAAGAGTTTGGGAGGTCCTCTTCAGATGAGCCTCTTGGAATAACGCCACCAAAAAAGATCTTATTTTCCACCATTCTAACTGTAAGCTTTAAAAGTCTTGAAGAGAGGGATCATAGGACCATGTATGGAGTAAGCATTCTATTTGTAGGATATTCACTTCAAGGATTCCTGTTGATAAGGGTTAGAAAGGCAACATCTGAACTCTTGAGAAATTACTATGAGACATGAAATTATGGTTTCACCTGATCTTTTCTAAGAGTTAAAATCAGATTTAAAGAGTAATCACTGTTTGTGGTGTGAATGTTCATCCTATTTTTGTCTTTGGTAGATTTTTATGGATTTTAGTACTGTTTCAGAATATGGAAATACTATTTAACCAGACATCATAAAGGGATTAAAGAAATGTACATTTTTGTTATCTAGTCCACACATTTTGCACTAAACCATAATGTGATTTAAGTTATGAACCAGTCAGTCTTATATAAATAATTTATGGCTTAAATAGGATATGTAAACCTAACTAATTACTGTGTGTCACTATATTTTTAATCCTTTTAAAATATAGTATCCGTCTTTCATCTTCAAATGCTGCTTGGCTGGACAATCTCTCACAGTTGATCCCAGTTGATCAACTGGGATCAACTGATCCCTGATCCCAGTTGAGAATTACAGTGTTCATTTTATGCTGCTCTTTTATTCCGTGTAATAATAATATTTCCATTTGGATCAAACTCACCTAGCAATTCCAAGACTTTTTGTTGGAATAGCTGAAATACAAACTGCATTTTTGAAGGAACACAATGGAATTATAAAGTCTGTTCTGTGAAGTTTTGCAATATGGACAGATCCTTGTGTTCTGCAGAACCTAGGTGTCAGTTAAAGCTTGCTGGCAATTCTTGTTTTCATTCATTAAATATTTCTGGTTAAGGACCTCTTATAACTAAAAAGTTCAAAGATTATTCATTTCTTTTGTTGTTTTGATGTAATTGTAAACTGCAATAAATTGCATTTGAGCAGAGTTGAATTGTAACTCATATCAAATAAACTGGCAACTCTGTTTCTAAATTATTGATACATCACAATAAAATTGGGCATTGATACTTATACTGTATTCATTTTCAGTCATACTGATTAGACATTGGCTGGATGGCATGACAATTAGCTGGATATATAGCTGACTCAAAAATTATATCCAGAAGTATTGTGTTGATTACAATTGAGAAACAATTTCAAATCCACCCTCAACCATGGGAGCCAATGGATGACTTCAGATCAATCATTCTTTCTCAACCCAACCTACTTCAAAAGGTCATTATGGAATAAAATTAGGTGATAATTACATGCTGCAAGGAGAGCTAGCTACATGCGTCCTTGAATTTTTGGAGGAAAAGGAGGATATAACGTAACAAGTACTGCAATATTGTTTTGTTGAATAGGCCATGATTGATAAAGAGAACACACAGGCATAAATTATAAGCAACAATTACTGGGTTTACACTGACAAAAGCAAATCACATTATGGCTCAGCACAATCTGGCAATCTATGTAGATAATGTTGCTATCTGAATTAAGGATCTTGCTTTTTTGGTTAATGTTGTAGTTCCTAAAGTTTCCCTCCCCCCTATACAGTATTTGCCTTGTACTAAGTTAAAGCATTACATATAATTATTTTAACATAACCTATAAATTTATTGCTGACTCTGTTAATTAAATTTATATACTGTCCATCTTACTTTCCGAAGTCACACTGGGTGACTGACAATACAATAAAAAGCACAAATTAAAAACATTAAATTAACAGGAATTTAATAAAACCAGGAACCTAATCCTTATCTTGACTGACTTTGTAAAGGTTCCTTAGACTTAGCAGAAAGCTGTAAAATGAATTTGCCCAGTCTGATTCCTTTTTCTTTTCATAATTATCAGTACTTTGCCAGAATAATTTTTAAAAGCAAATGTGTTTATTTTTTTAAAAAGCATCTGATGTTCTCTAAAACAAAAGGCTAATGGTATATCTTAAAATAATTCAGATTTGTTTAAAAAAAATCAGTCTGGAGGTACAACTGGTATACGGGCCACAGATAGTACCTTTGGGACATTGCTGTTGTCTTTGAGACATTGCGTGCTACATGTTCAACCAGCAATTTTTAAAGATTACCAGTATATTACAAAAGCTTCAAAAAAACTGGTCCAACAGGCTGCCATGAAAGTAGAAGTTTGAAAACTTTAGAATATATTGAAACATCTCCACTCCTGAGTGCATATTATCTAACCTATGGAAGATGGAGTGAAACTTTTATCTCCAAGCCAATTACTAACTCCAATGGCAAGCACATTTCAAAAAGAAGCCCAGTTTTGTAAAGTACTATCCATGAAGGATTTTCAACCCTTTGGGAATCCTATTTAGGGTCAAGGGTACTATGATTAGGTACCTTGTTTTATTGGTATTTCGTGTACCTATCTAATGGTTTACCCTTTTTACTGGTATTCGCAGGAGACAAAGACAAGCTATAGGGGGAAAAACCCTGAGCATAACAGTTTGCTTTTCCATTATGTTGTGAGTGTTATTGTGCCAAAGACCTTGGCTGAGGGGAAGAAAGTGCAGTTAATAGTAGCCAACGCTAGCTGGCAGACAATCAGCAGTACAAGCTGTTCTTGTTCCAATAGGCAGCAATGAATGCCTGACATACCATTAAGGTTGTCCGCTAGGATAAATTCCATTTTGCCCTGGTAGAAAGCCTTTTATGTCCTGACTGAAGCTAACACAGTCAAAAACATCTTCCTATGCTGACTGTTCTCAAGACAGGCAGAATTTAACCTTTTAAACAGAGCAGACAAAAGCTTCCTGTTGCACTGGAAGGGAACAAACACTATAAATAGGATACAGACACAGTAATTCATAACACAACATTTTAAGCAGCAGGAAAATATTAACAAGGCTTGGAGAAACGGAAAGCTGCATCTCTCACATACTAGAAGCATATGGGGAATTCTGGGAGTTGAAGTCCTCAAATCTTAAAGTTACAAAGGTTGGACATCCTTGTTATAAAGGTTGTAGCATATGTAGATTTTCACCTGTCAAGGGATATGCGTGATGTGCTACATTATAAAATATAACAGCTGGATTCACTCAATGCAGAAAAATTTGATCTGGCTAATTTTGATAGTGCATAAGATTTTTGCCCATGGCTTAGAGTTGTATGAACTGAATTGTTTATTGAATTGTAATGTGCTTTACAACTTAATATGTTATATGAACATAATTAAGGTGCTTTATTCACTAAATTCTGGTTGCGCTCATACAATCCATTAACCACCATTCATACAACGCACTGATTTAGAAATTAAATAGAGAAAGCTTACACAAGAAGTCATCTCCTCCCCCAACCAAGAAGATAAAATGATCAAGTTTAGCATGTTTTGAGAATGTAGTTGTTAGTCTTGAACAGTGGTGGGATTCAAAAAAAATTACTACTGGTTCTGTGGGCATGGCTTGGTGGGCGTGGTGTGGCTTGGTCGGCATGGCAAGGGAAGGATACTGTAAAATCTCCATTCCCTCCCCACTCCAGGGGAAGGTTACTGCAAAATCCCCATTTCCTCCCAATCAGGTGGGACTCAGGAGGCAGAGAATAAATGGGGGTGGGGCCACTCAGAGGTGGTATTTACCGGTTCTCCGAACTACTCAAAATTTCCACTACCGGTTCTCCAGAACTGATCAGAACCTGCTGAATACCACCTCTTGTCTTGAACTAATGAATTCAGTCCATGGACAAATGAATCATGATTTATAAAAATCCCTCCCTTTGAAATATCATCCCTTCAGAAATTATACTGGCCCCCACTTGACACTCTTTCATAAGGCCCTGAAGGCTTGATTTTGCCAGCAGGCCTGAGGAACCCAGAGTGGGATGCAGCTCACCAAATGGCTCATTTGACTGTGTGTTGTCACCGAGAGTGGGTGGGTGGGTAGGGTTACTGTATTTTATTTTATTTTTTATTATTTTATTTTATTTTATTTTTATTTTATTCTATACTGTATTTTTTTTGCTTGTAAGCTGCCAAGAGTCACTGTGAACAAGTACACAGCCATATAAATTTCTTAAACAAACAAACAAACAACACAATTTTCAAGATTCTCACAATATGCCAAGCCAGAGATGCAAACCTCTAAGTTTGAGGGTCAGGTCAGATTGTGCATTGCATGTTGAGAACTGCAATTCAGCAGTGAGCATATTTGGAGATAGAGTTTCAAGAGTGAAAGGACTATCTTAAACATTTATAAATATTCTGGATTCTACTTTGTTTTTTGACTTGTGCAACCAATCACATGAGGGCTACAAACATTTTCTATGCTGCCATTGAACTTTTGCTACCCAGATTTGGGTGCCCTATCTTAACAACCTTATTTAAACTTTCCAAAACTATAATATGTGGCCTAAACTTTGGCTCCACCCACTGTGGCTGCCATTAAAAGGATGTTGGGGGGGGGCACCACTTTTTGCAGCCCTGCTCTAAGCCAGACTAAAAACACCACATTGCATCTAGCACAAGGTCTTGTATTCAATGACTGCTTTCCAGTAGCTACCAACCCACTAGCTGTACAAACCATTAGTAATGCTTTAACTCTTACAGTTGTCACACAAATAATATAACAACTTTTGTGGCCTGAACATTATCAGTTTGCCAAGCATATATTCATTATTTCCCGGTTTCACTAGTTTCATGAAAGGGGTATTCACATGCATTCTTACTTGATTTTCCTTGTTGAAGATGTCTTTATCATGTTTTATTAAACAGTGCCCTGCCCATAATACGTCCTGAAGTTATGTCTAGTAATCTTTGTCCATCTGTCTTGAGCAATATCTAAAGTGACTAACATATCATGGACATGATGTTTCAGTTCTTCAGAAGTACAGTGTCAATATATCTGCCCTGACAATATTCATTCATCTGTCCTCAGGCATTTTCGTAAAAGTCATTATTATACAGGCAATTTTATGTTATTCTAAAAGTGTTAAATGATACTGTTTTGATGAAGTAATGAAATTTATCTCGTGAATGGAAAAGTGATATCTGAGCAAAAGCAGTACACTTTCCCTGAATGATTTTGATGGTGAGAGAGGTGGCATATAAATTTAAACAAACAAACAAACAGACAGACAGACAAACAAACAAACGAAGCATTTTCTCAGCTCGGCTGTTAACCTCCCACCCCCAGTTCTTCACTTGGGGTTTTCATATGTATGCATGCAAAAAAGATGAAAGTGAAGTGATGCTGCACATGCCATTCTTTTTCTTTTTTCTTTTGTAATTTCTCACAACTGCTTGGTTGTTGAATTGAAATTTGAATTGACATGTCAGAAAGCCAGTGAGGGCAAAACAGACAAGCGGGAAAGTGGTCTTTTTGGCGTGTCTAACCTACCTTTGCTCTTAAGCTTTTTGAAGCCTAGATAAAGTCATTGCACAACAGCTCTGTCACTATTCAGATAAAATAAACAAACAAAAATAAACTGCTAGCTAAAATAATATTACTCATCCCACTGAGGCACAAAGAAACAAAAAAGCTATTGTCAAAACATTTTCAAAGAGCTAGAATTTAGATGATGTATAGAAAGACTAATAGTATCTTGTGCAAGATATTTGGTCTGTTGTGGTGTTGCTTAGTCAAAACTGATACTGAAGTTTCTTGAAATATGCCTTTGAAGCAAGACATGTTTGAAAGTCTTAATTGCTGCTCAGTGAACACTTAACAAACAGCAGAGTGCTCCATCAGTACAAGAAGCACACCCCGTAACTGAGGGAGATGTAGGAGGTGCTAGAAAGGCCATATGTTTTGGCAACTAACAGGACTAAGTTTACAGGCTTCAGTTGCTATCTCTTTCTATTTTCAAGACCTTTTTTTTTTTGGTAGCAAATGTTTGTTCCTTCACTTTTATTTTTTTCTTAAGAAAGCGGATCTTTTTCACCTATCAATCTTTTAGGGATGCAAAGAACAGGGACATCCTCTCATTGTATCCAACAATTTGCCTGTTCTGCAGTCTGTTTCACAACCAGCCAGAGAATTTGAGCTACTCAAGATCTAACTAGTTTCACAAGCTGATAGG